TATTGCATTTCAGTCAGCTCCAGTTTCAGTTTCGATTGGGTGCTGTAGTTTTTGAACTGTTGCTTTTATAAATATTGCGAATTGTAACTATGTATATACATATTTTTTTGGTTAAAATCGTTTCACTGTGAAACTTATGCCGAAATTTGCCACACTTTTTAATTTTAAAAAATTCTGAAGTATTATAACTATTTTTGTATGGCACATTTATGGAAAATCGACTGTGGTCAAAAGGCTTTTATTTTATATATTTTGGGTCTGTCTGCCTATTACTCTCAGTCTTTTTTGACTAGCTGAGGCAATACATCGGTCCTCATTGAAAGCGTTAAGAGAATCGACTTAAAACTGTCCTATACACCGACCTTTCAGTAGAAAACAGATCCCTTTCTTTAGTTGACCTTAAAAAATAATCTATATAAATAGAGAAATGCTTCAAAAAACCATTTGTATTGGTTTGCTGAACAGTAGAGACACTCTTAGTGTATATAGTGTACAATATGAGACAAACTTCGTTTGGCGATTTCGTGGGCTAAAGCTGTATAGCTTTAATTGAGCTTTTCAGTCTTTGAAATTTGCCTGGAAGCTTTCCCTCACATCGAAAGTCCAGAATTTGCAGTTTTTCGACCCATTATCAATAAAGATTTCAATAATTTAGAAGCGGGATAATAAACTAATTTTACTTCTGCTAATTTTCCAAAATGTCATATTTTCTGGAGGGATTTTCGACGTCCTCAAGTTGAATCAATGCAAGAGCTTGGAAACTTACTAAGCTACAACTGATCTGGTGCACTACTAAATTTGTATCTAGAACATTTTAAAGAATTTTGACTTGAGAATCTACACATTCACTCATAAAAATATTTTGAGTGAGATTTAATAAAGTTCTATAATTTCTAGAAATACTAGTACTACTTTAGTGCGCTTAAGAACTTGCAAAAAATTACTTATGTATATGGTACATGTCTTAATAGTCCACCAAATTTGTGAGTTAGCTATGAGAGACAAAAGAGGACGGAGAGAGAGAGAGCGAGAAATCTTAAAAATAGGAAGAGATATATAAATAAATTATAATTGTCTATATTTCCGAGAATACCTCCTAAAAGTATGACTTTAATTTATAGAAGAATAACTTTTGGGGCAATTAAAATTTGTGCAAACATTTCAAAAGCACTTTTTGCACCGAAAGGAAAATCCGAAAAAAAGCTTTTCATGTAAATGCACGTGCTGCATTTTGCACTTGGTGTCACATCGATACGCCTTCATTTGCATAACACTTGCACATTAATTAAACCGCCTGTTGTTATGCAACGCACCGCCATGCGAACTCATTTGCGGCAAAAAAGTAGACACTTCAAAAACTCACTTCAGGCAATTCTGTCACCACTCAATGCCTTTCATTGCATTCGCTTTTATTTTTGCGATGTGTGTGTGCGTGTGTGTTTTTTCGGCCTTTGGCAACTGATTTTTTTCGTTAACGGTCGCTTTTTGTATCTTTATGCATTTTCAAAATGCGATTACTTGATACTCAAACCCACTTACCGTTAGCGTGCGCCAGCGTTCAAGCTTTAAATAAAGCTTTTTTTGTTGTCACTGCTGTTGCTATTGTTTTTGCTGTTGTGCAACCCTTAAAAAGGCGCGAGCAGCCACTCATTTGAATACACTCAAGTGTCCACTTCAAGTGTTTGTGATGTGGCAACACATGCGAAAGAAAAAAGGACTGAAATTGAATTGCACTTGCAACAGCTGCAGCGCAATAAGCAGGCAGAACGCCATGCAACACACATGCATATTGCTGGTGGTGGCATAAAATGCATTTACTTGTAACAGTTGGGTGTGTGCTGGGCGATATTACTTTATCAGCAATACAGGCATTCGCACTATTAGTGCCGCCGAACTGTACCGATAACTGTAAATTGTTGCAAGCAAAAAGTACGAAGTGTTTAAAGTGCGAATATTTATGCCACTTTATTTCATGGCAAATTACACAAAAAGGCCGGCATAAAATATGCGCAAACATTTGCACACATTCAGCTAATAAAAGCGTCGCATGTGAGTGTGTGTGTGTAAGTAGTTGACAATTAGTATGTTGCAAGCATGTACATTTACTACATATACCACATGTATGTGTGTGTGTAATATGAGCTGACATGCTCATTCGCCCGAAACTATGTACTACATGGTACGACATTTCCGCATGCCACACGACACACACTAACGTTAATGCAAAGCTTTGTGTGTCAGCTTGCCACTCTTGGCACTTAAGTAAATAACTTTTCTTTTGCTAGCCTTTTGGCAGTGCCGTCATAGCTATTTAAGTTCGCATACATTTAAAATGCACATACCAACGGACTCACACACACACACACACAAGTCGGTGTATATTTGCATCAGGGCATGTGTGTGTGTTTGCCTGCGTTACTTTGTGTAGCAAGCAGTGCAGTAACCTAGGTTCTAAGTAGCCACTACTCATATTCAATATTTGCATTCAAAATTTGAGTACATTAACTGCAGACAATCGCTTTGTCGGTGCGTCAGTGTGTTGATGCGTTGCTGACTTGGCGATTTCCACTTTTCCTTTGATTACCATATTTGCATACGAGTCCATTCATTCATTGCATTAAAGTTTAAGGGTTTTTAAGAAATTTGTCATAAATTTAGCAGTTTTTTTCTCGTTTTACACTGTCTGCATATAAGAATGGAACAGACATACTTTTTATATTTTTGCTGATTCAGCAAAATCGCTTGAAGCTAGCAAAAAGTTATGCATAATTTGCAACTTGTGCTTGAGGCTGGGATTTATTAGATTTATTTGCTAAATTTAAATGCTGAGACGGAAATAAATTTGTTTAATGTAGTAGGCGCTCATACTTAAATGGCGTAAAGAAACAGTAAATAATCCAAACTCATATCGAAAATATGACACGAATTTAATGAAGGTGAACAAATTTAGTTCTTCAAACGATTTATATTCAATACGAAGTAATTTTCGGGTGGAAGCGGCAGCAGAATTCTCTGTATACGTGAATCCCACACAGAAAGTCGTGGGTTCAAATTTTAACTTATGCTAAATATATGATTGCCAATAAAAACCCTTCAGATAGTTGATCAAAATGGAAGTGATTGCAAAGACCAACAGAAGAAACTATAAAATTCATAATTATATAAGTTTTTTTCATTAAGACGCACCTTAATTAGGAAGAGAGTCCGGAATATTTTTGTTCGAATGATGAAATATACTTTGTTGAATAAAGCTTTTATAAAGATCATATTTTAAATTACAATACCGCATCTTGATAATTTTAGTAAATTTCAGTGTCTCAATTTTGTCATTTTTAAAAAATTAATCATCTTGGACTGAGGCTTAGGTCATCTTCAAACTAACAACAAATTAGCAGACAGTCCTACAGCAACACAAAATTACAAAACTCCAGTATTTTTTATTGTAAATGCAAAAAATATAACGACTCGGCATTCTGCTCATAATATTTCACACAAGTTTCTCAAAAATACTCTCAGAAAGGGTTTTGATTAGATATCAGAGTCGGCTTCATTTACAAAAAGCAAACAGGGTCAATGGTTTCCGTCATGACATTCCTATACAGCAAGAAAGTAAAAACGAATGATCTGCCTGGAAAAAAGTTTACACTTTCTTGGAAATTGAAAAATAATATGACTTCAAATCGGAAAGCGATAGTGCTTTGTTCAACATCAACTTGTGAAAAATTTTCGACAAGAATTTTTTAAACATCAAGCAGAAAATATATCACATCACACGACACAAAGCTGAAAAAAGAAGAATGAACTCACGAGCAATTTTGGACCCTTCCTAAGCTTATTAGTGTTGTATAGATGATAATATAATAATATAGCTAAAACTTTAACCTGCTTGTGCTTTATATTAACCAATCTTTTGGACTTTTACTAGTGTCATATAACATAATCATATATATCTTAGGTGATATTTGACGCTTAAAAACCCGCAGCCAATCTCCGTCGTTTTTTTGTAAAAGTTTATAATTAGTATCAGTAATGTTATTTTTTTTATCATTGTCTAAAAAACATATCCAAAAAGGTCGTGTAAAAAATTGAAGTCGATCGGTTCATTCGGCCATTTCGGAGAAATTTTTCACACTCCTAGTGGATGAAAAGCGTTTCGAAAAACACGGAATAATATAAAAATTCTTACAAATGCGTTTATATCTCTGCAACTTTTCACGGATCAACTTCAAGTTTTCGAAAAAATATTCTCTAATTTATGTAACCTCTCCACATTGACAAGTTTTTTGTCGTGAATCCTAGTTGTTTGCTAAAAGATTTTTGAAAAATTGTTGTTAGCAAATTTGGTCTACATTTAGATGCCACATGTTTATATACCCTGAACAGGATATATAAAGTTTGCACAAATTTCATAACACCCAGAAGAAAACGTCGGAGACCCTATAAAATATGTATATAAATGGCCAGCGTGACAAGTTGAGTCTGTCTGTATATACGCGATCTATGTAGTCTCTCTGTTTTTGAGATACATATCTGAAGTTTTGCACACATTGTTTTCTCAAGAAGCTCTTCAATTCTCGGAAACGCCGATATTGGACCCCTTTAGCATATAATAGCTGCCATACAAAGTGAACAATCAGAAGCCAGTTCGTGTATGGAACACTTTTTTATTTGACGAGATATCTTTACGAAATTTGGCATGAATTATTGTCCAACGCAACGGTATAATCTTCGAAGAAATTATTCCGAACGAACCACTTTAGCAAATAGTTGTAATATAAACTGACGGATCAAAATCAAGTTGTTGTAAGGAATCTTGTGTATTTGTGTAAAGTATTATAGCTTCGGTGCAAACGAAGTTAACGTTTTTTCTTGCTTTTATATTTTAACTTCAAGATAACGCAAACTTTAATAATAATATTTTTTTCTAACTTGCAATATTTTTAGTGCCTAATGCTTAATATGAATATAAACTAAATATAAATTATTTCGTTTTTTTACAGGAATGTCAATTTCAATTCAAAAACCTTCGCTGGAATTGCAGCACAACAGAGGATAACACTGTCTTTGGTCCGGTGACGGGATTGGGTAAGCCGAAAATCATTTCTTATTATTACTGTGAAACGTAAAATACTGCAAATGTACCGAAATAAATTAAACCTAAAAGCCTTGGACCACTTATCCCTTTTGAAAAGCCAAACCTTTACAGCCATTTAATGCCACAAACCATTTTTGCTGCAGAACTTTCGCCCCATAACAATTTATCAAATTAAATTATTATGATCAACTCATCAAAAGGCAAAATACCTAAATTATTCTAATCAATTTTAATTTCATTAACCAACAAAGAGATTCACTGCTACCTGTGCGCGTGAATTAGTGTGCGTGTGTTTGTGTTGGTGTTGTAGCGTTTGTATGCACGCTCGTTTGTCGGCTCGTTCGTTTGGCTTCTAAGTTAGACTTAATTAAATGATGAATATTATTTCCTGTCTGCAAAGTTACGCTCAAAACAATCAACAAGCGAAAAGGCAGCAACAACAACAACCAGTCGCAAGCGGCAACACAGCAACAACAAGGGCTTCAGTTGCTAGATATGTACAACACAAAGCGGCGGCACAAGCACAAAATCTGCATTGTTTGCCCTTTTCGGGCAGCCGCCAGTGACTGAAGAGAACTTTGTGCAAAGCTCCGGGTCTCGTGGGTTAGTGTTTTAAAATAAACTTCCAAAATTCCTTTCACCGGCCGGGAATGAACATAGCTTATCTAACATTATAATCTAGCAAGATGGGACGGCGTGTGTGTTTGATAGTGCCACAGAGTAGCTTCATTGAGTTGAAAGCATAATGAAATGGAGCTTTTGTGGAGGGAGTCAAATTTCACAGGACAGCAGAAAAATATGCATCTACAGGTATTTTGCGTGGGGCTGCATCCTGTGCAAATTGTCAAGAAAAGTTGAAGTTTTCACTGCGTACACACGCGATCTGGTGCGATTTGCAACTAATATTGCTCCTTGAGCTGCCGCTCTTTCTCTTTTAATGACTTTGTTTGGCTTTGTGCGTACCTGCTGGTGTCTGACTGAGACTCCGTTCCTAACTGTATTTCTTAGACTTGTTTGTTCATTGCTTGTTTTCGGTTTATTGTGTTGCCTTAATTGATTTGACGCTATTATATTGTTGTTAATTGTGTTGTTGCTGTTCTTAGTTGCTTCTGTCTATTCAACTTTCTACAGTTGTTTTCAGCTGGCCACTTTAATAAATTAATTAAAAGTTGAGATTTTAAAGACTCGAGTTGACAATGTCAACGTATTTAGTGCGTAACACTAATACAATCACAAATGAGACAGACATTTGGAAAACAACAACTATAAGGTGCGTACTTTCTTTTAGTTTGTGGGAAAGTTGAATTAGTTCGTCGCAAATTTGAGTTGAAATTAAGTGGGCTTAGAAGCTTTATAATTGAAATTTGAAAGATCTTGAGCTCTTAATATAAAATATGTTGTTGCTAAATTCTTGGTGGGTTGCGGTAAAAGTTTCGTTTAGCCGCGGTAAGCAAATTATAATTGACTTGATACAAGATTTGTTGTTGAAGTTGAATAGCTTGTTTTGTGGATTTGGCTCAGTTAGTTTCGGGACTGATTGGAAGAGTATTTAGCACTTGCAGCGGACGTCAATGCAATTTGAAAAGTTAAAGAGATATTTGATATCCAATTTTGATACTTCATCTAGTCCCATGAACTGCGAATCTCACAGATATCTAAGCCTATTTGTGATTTGTCACGAGGCCATCAACCGTCCGGCAGTCTTTTCCAGACTGTACGTTCTTAAAGCATATCATCTTACCCTAATACATCTTTCAGTTCCTTTGTTAACTGTTACCACTGCTTCTTAGGCTTCTAAGGACTTTCGCTGACGTAATGCAATGTAAAATTATTGTTTTTTTGGCTTTCACAGGTTTGCTATTGGTTTTGATGTTATTTATATGGTTTCTTGTGTTGTTGGCTATTTCAGCAGCCGTTTTGGATCCATCCGTGTAGATATTGCAAGTCCCTTTGGTGGGTCTCATGCTCCTGTGCCGTCCACTGTTATAATTTATTGGATTGAAGTGTTTCATTATATAAAAATACCTTTAATGTAAATTTTTTATATATATTTTTTTTTAAGATTTTATGGCGTCATACTAACGGGCATAAGATTATTAATACAGTTTTGTACGAATAGACATATCTAAAAGTGCAAACCAGGTTTCTAAAGGTCGGAAAAGATAGTTTAGTAAACTGGTAATACAATTATTTGCAGACAAGAGATGGATTTCAAGTCCAATATTTCAAAAAAGGATATATAATAATTAATTTTATAAACACTATAGAGTTCGGTGTAAATACGCGTCTAACACCTAAGCAAATCAGAAGTATTATTTTGCTTTCATATTAAATGCTCTTCTTGTATTTTGAAGGATTATGGAAGATACTTTTATTTTTCCAAAATCTATTATATATCCATTATCTACTAATATTAACAGAATTCCAGATGCAATATTATATTTGATCATTTCAGTTCCGTGCAAGATTTCTTCATTAGTTTATTACATTATTAGTTATTACTTTATATACATAGCTATATTATATTTGTTATATATTATATTATCTTTTCATATTTTCTCATCGAAATGGGTGTGAGTCTTTGCTTAAAACTGAGATAGTTACGCACAAGTGTAGGCAACACCATCCATAAATTTTGTAGTTTAGCATATCTATACTTGTAATAAACCGTTGCATAAATGTTGGCGCTAGTGAATGACTCTGTTACTCAGAACAGATTCAAATACAAATATATTTAATGTATAAGTAAATAAGTTTAAATTACTTTACACTTAACAAAACTTTGAAGCCATAATGACTATGCCACAGATCAAATTGGAAATTTTGAAGCAAAATCTGCAAATTAATTAATTGCATTCAATGCTACATTTAATAAAATTTATGAGCAGATAATTTCTCATTCACCGGCATAACGGAATGCGCATGAATGTTGCGTTATATGTGTTGCAGCAAAAATTCAAACAGCTTCCAAAGCCATTAGGATGAATGCCACAAAACTTGCTTAACAGCAAACAATTTCGTACAACAAAAGAGAAAGAGGTCATTAAAGAAGGTACAATTTAAACATTAAATAGGGTATACACTTAAATTACATATATTCATATGACTGCTGGCCGACAGAGCAAGCAACGCACTGGTCGCTGGTTGTAGACCGTTTTCCGCACGTGTAAACTTGCCACAAAATAAACCTAAAATACCTTACAATAGAATTTAAAGTGAATGGACGATTCGAAAATGAAAATAGTTAGTACACATACATGCCGTTATAACCCTCCCTATTGTAATTATTTTGTATGCAATAAAATAAATGGTCGCAGGCCATGAAATAACTCATACCAATGATGCGTTTGCAAAATTTAATGCTTTGAAAGTTTATTTAAGCCTTTCACAAAAACATTTCACTGAAAAACGTTTTGTAAAGTAAACGTAAATGCACCGTGAAAATGAGCGTAAGGTGGTGGAGGGTGCGACATACAAACATACCATATAAATAAGTGCCTAATCGTCATGGCGATATGCTGGAAAGCAGCAAACAAGTGTATTTGTGTGCTATTGTACTTGCAACACAGAAAGTTTAAATTAATTATTCAAACATTTACCCGACAACCCTTCGCAGCACTATTCTATTCGCGTGCTACTATTGTTCTAACTGTAGTTAACCGTTCGTACGCCGACAGTCACATAAACATTACCATTAAAAGAGATAAAAATCATGACATGATAACGCATCCCTAGTGGCAGCAGCGCTGCTGATGGTAGTCGCGGTCGCCTTGTACCCACATGCATTGCCGTTATTGCTGCCTTCTGTGGTGGTTGTAAGCGCCGCACAATTCCCCAGCCGCAAGTTAAGACAGCCACCGTCTAACGTGCAACATTGTGGCAAATTTGTGTGACGTGCACGCCACTGCTTGTGCTAGCAAGGCACGGGTTAACGCCACCGTCATTGCCGAAAATCTCGAAATCTCAGCTAAGAAGCCAACGTAAATGTTTCATTAAATAATAAAATTCATATTAATTCATTCCTGTGGCGCGCAAGCAAACACACAAGCCACACACTTATTTGTTAACTTATCGGCAGTTAGTTGAAATTGTTGCAAAGATGCCGTAGCAGTGTTGTAAGTGCTCGCAATTTACGCACTACACAGCGACTGCAGCTTGTGTTCGCTACTGCTACCGCTGCTGCTGCCACAGCGCCGCTTGTTCGAACGGCTGCTGTCTTTTGTTGCTTCGCACTTGGCACTTGGTGTCGTCAGTGCCGCTGTTACTTTTCTTGCTTTGCTACTTCCTGTTCCTGTTCCGTTTTCCTGCCTGGCTGCATCGCTGCTTGGCAGCTTGAAGTTCGCTACCCCCGGCAGTTTGGGTCGTCAGCGTCGATGTTGCTGTTGGAGTGGCGCGTTGCATGTCTGTCTGCCTTGGGAAATTCTTACCTCTGTTAAACACTTTCGCTGTAATTCTGTGTATTTTTGTGTCTGCCCTTTCCATTAGCGCTGTGCGTCGTCTCTCCATTGGCCTCTGTTAGCTAACTCTACCACTAACACTTATTAGTATCATACGCTTCGCCTGACACGGAATTAAATTTAAAGCGCATAAATCCCTTTGCGGCATGACTACAAACAAATTGTCATATATACTCGTGTACACATATATTGAGTTGGTGGATAAGTGGCAACCCAGTGGTAAAAAAAGCGGATTTTGAAAATTTTTAAATCTGCTTCATCTAGACAAGTTTATATGCAGCTTTTTATACCACCTTGAAAATATAGATTCGATAGTGCTCACTAGACATTTCTTAGCTAAGTCGTTCTCTTAAAACCGAAATCAGCAAATACCTTAATTAATCATTGAGGGATGAATGGATGAATTGGGGAACTGAAAAGCGACTTAAAAAGTCACAAGTATCAAAAGATATAGTTATTGACCGTTGTGAATAACTTGAGCCATAAAAAATTTTAAAGAGCCTGTTTCTGCGAATCATCGGAGTTTTAACCCT